TATTTTTTTTTTTTCCATCTTTTCAATCTCTTCTTTTTTCTTATCTTTCCTCTTCTCTTCTCTTTTTCGTTTCCTTCTGTTCCTATTTTTTTTTCTCTATTCCTTACTCTTTTTCTCCTCATTCTATTTTTCTTTATCCTCCTTCGTTCTTTTTTCTCTTTTTATTTTTTATTTTCATTTTTCTTTCATGTCTTTATCTATTTATCTCTTTTTTTTCTTCTTGTTTTTCTTTCTTCTTTTTTTTTAATCTTATTTTCCTCTATTTTCTGCGTCTTTTTTCTTCCTTTCTCTATCTTCTTTTATTCCTTTTTCTTTTCTCATTTTTCTTTCTCTTTCTCATCCTCCTTTTTCTCTTGATTCTTATCTCTTTTGTTCTTTTTCCTCTTTTCTCTCTCTTTCTTCATTTTTTTCTTTCTCTTTTCTCTTTGTCTTCTTTTTTCATCTATCAATTTCTTTTCTGTATGTCTTTTTCTTTTTTTCTTTTCTCTTCTCTTTTTTGTCTCTTCGCTCTCCTTTCTTTTATCGCTTTCTTCTTCTTTTGTCTCTTTTTTTTTCTTTTTGTTTTTTTTTTCTTTTTCTTTTCTCTTCCTTTATCTTTTTTTTCTTTTCTCTTCTCTCTTTTCATTCATTTTCTCTTTCTTTCTTTTCTTTTTTTTTTCTTCTTCTTTTTCTTCTCACTCTGTATTCGTGCTTTCTCTGTATTCTTTATCTATTTCTTTTCTATTTCTCTTCCTTTATTCTCCTTCTAATTCTTTTTTCTTTTTTTTCTCTTTCCTATTTCTTGCTTTTCCTTTTTCGCTGCTCTCCTATTCTTTCTTCTTATTTCTTTTTCATATCTCTTCATCTTTTTCTCTTTCTCTTATTTTTTTTTCTTTTCCTTTCTAGTATTTTTTCTTTTTTGTCTTCTTTTTTCGTTATATCATTATTTGTTTTTTTCTTCTTTGTCTTTTTCTTTCTTCTTTTATTCTTTTCTTTTTCTCTTTTTTCTTCCTCCTTTCCTTTTTTTTGTTCTTTCTTTTCTTTATTATTTCTTCTTCTACTTCTCTCTCTTTCTTCTTAGTTTTTCTCTATTTCATTTTTCTCTTTTTATTTTCTTTATTTTCTTCTCGTCTTCCCTTTCTTTTTCCTTTCTCTTCCTTCTTTTATCTCTTTCTTCTTTCTTCTTTTTTTTACTTTCCTCTCTTTGTATTTATTTCTCTCGGTCCTTTTCTTCTTATTTCTTTCCTTCTTCTTTTCTCTTTCTCTCCTCTTCTTTTTTCTTTTTTTCCTCTTTCTTCTTATTAGTCCTTTCTCTCCTTTCTTTGTTCTCTCTTTCTCGTCTTTCTTACTCTTTTTCTTTCTCTTACTTTTGTTTTCTCTCTTCTCTTTTTTTTTTCTTTTTTCTTTTATCTTTTTCTATCTTATTTATAGTTTTCTTTTTTATTCTCTCTCTTTTTTCTTCTCTTTTGCTCTTTTGTTTTTGTCTTTCTTTTGTTTTTCCTATTTCTTTTTTTTTTTTTCCTTCTTTTTCTTTTTCTCTTATCCTTCTTCTTTTTCTTTTCTTTTCTTTCTTTTTTGTGTTTATCTTTTGTATTTTTCTTCTCTTCTTTTTTTCTTTTTCTCTTTCTTCTTTCCGATCTCTTTTTATTCCTATTCTTTTTTCCTCTACTTTTCTTTTTATATCTCCTCTCTCTTCTTTGTTTCTTTTTCTGCTTCATTTCTTTATTTCTCTTTTTCTTTCTCATCTCCTCTTCTCTCTTCCCTCTCCTCATCTTCTTTTTTGTTTATTTTTTCTTTCTTTTCTTGTTCTTTTCTTTATATTTTTCTTTGTTTTTAATCCTTTTCCTTTTTCTGGTCTTCATTTCCTTCTTCTCCTTCTCTCCTCTTTCTTCTCTTCTTTTATTCAATCTTTTCTCCTTCTTTCTTTCTTCTTTTTTCTTTTTTTCTCTATCTTCCTTTCTCTTTTTTTTTTTCTCTCCTTTTTTTTTCTTTTTCACTTTCTTTCTTTTCTTTTTTCTTTTGAATTTATTTTTTTTTCATATTTTTTTTTCATAGCTTTCTTCTCCTTTTTTTTCTTTTTTCATTTTTCCTCTTCTCGCTCCTCTCTCTCTTTCTTATCTTTTATTCTTTTTTCTTTTTTTCGTCTTCTTCTATTCTTTCTCTTCTTTTTCTTCTTTATTTATTCTTTTTATTTCTTCTCTTTATTTTTCTTTTATTTCTTTTTTTTTTTACTTTTCTTCATTTTTATGTTCGCTTTCCGTTTATTCTCATCGATCTTTCTTCTTCTCCTATCTTCTTTTTGATCTCACCTCTCTCCATCTTCTCACTTTCTCCTTTAACTTCCTCCCTCCTCTCCCATTAGTTCAACTTAAACAGACTATTACTGGCGGGGGGTCACGTTTGGCATCACGTTAGTTAGCTTACTGACTTTACTTGGGTGTGGGGTGAGGAGCAAGGTAGCTAGCAGACTTTATTTGGGGTGCGGGTGGGGTCAGCTAACAGACTTTACTTGGGGGTGTGGAGTGAGGTCCACTAACAGACTTTACTTGGGGTGGGGGTCACTCTTGACATCACGTTAAGCTGGGTTACACACTACCGACTTTATGTTGGCGAATTGGCGAGTTGGACCAATTTCGCCAATCGGCAACTCCGAGTTGGCGAAAATAGAACATGTTCAAACTCCCAACTAGTTGCTATCGATCTGCTGGCTGGTCGCGCAACTTTTGCGTTTACACTGCCGATTGTCGGTTTCATAGTTGGGAATGTGTCGTCCAATTCGCCAATTCGCCAACACACAGTCGGTAGTGTAAACCCAGCTTTAGTTAGCTTACCAAATTTACTTGTGATGCGCGATGCACTATTGGGATGCTGTTCTATGTCTGACGATGCTTCTATCATCACAACTGAAAACAAGACAAATGACGTCAAATCGCAGCAGCGTCTAGATTGTTAAAACTCGGCCACACAGACTTTATGTGAACCCGCCGTCTCTATGTTAGATTTGGAATTGAATGTCGAATGGTTGTGATAATATTAGTATTCTATCTACGGTATATACATTATTATTATATAGCTGACGTGTGACAGGGCTGTTTGTATCATCAGGGCCGTAGCCTCTGGGGGGCAAGGGGGCAGCTGCCCCCTCCCTAGATTTTGGAGCAAAATAAAAAAAGTTAATAATCGTAAATAAGGAAATTTTTGGTCACTTATCCGTGAAAGCCTTGTCTCAGACCCACCGCTACCACACTATGGACGTCGATCAAGAGCTGCGCCCGTCGCTCATCTTTACACAGTCGAGTCATTAAATTTTGCCCCCGCCGAGAAATTTTCTCAGCCTACGGCCCTGATCATAGACTATAATTGAGGATGACGGTGAGAAACTAAACCAGAGTCCTACCCGTCGGTTTTTCGTCGCGTAAACTCAATTCCTTAAGTCGCTGGCTGATCATCTCCACCAACCCGTCCTCGCGGTTTTCGACAACTTGACGAAGTTGTTCGACTACCTTCTCTAAGTTCGCGATGTCGTCTTTGCTCGACGCCCATTCTTCTTTTATGAAGGTGATGATCTCGATCAGCCATTTTCTTTCCTATATATAGACGCCGTACATCGTGCGTGAGAAATGCGCACGCAAAAAAGAGAGAAAAACGCCAACTGAGAGAGAACAAAAATTGACGAACGCGGGCGTATATATAGAGCACAGGCACTTGAAGCGTTTCAATAAAATATAATGCTAAATAAATACGAAATCTATTTACTACCATATTCTTAATGTTTCTATACTCTCTTTCACCTATTATTGCCGACATTTTCCTGTAAATTCCGCCAATTGCTCATCTGTAAACACACGCCGCCGCCATTGCTGCGGCGCTGCACACTGACACATAAATATATAGTGTGTATATAACATAAATATATACAATAACTATATATTTATGTGTCAGTGTGCAGCGCAGCAGCAATGGCGGCGGCGTGTGTTTACAGATGAGCATTTGGACGGCATTTACAGGAAATTGTCGGCAATAATAGGTGAAAGAGAGTATAGAAACAAAAAGAATTTGGTAGTAAATAGATTTCGTATTTATTTAGCATTAAATTTTATTGAAACGCTTCAAGTGCCTGTGATATAGAGGATGGGTGTTCTGTCGTACGGTGCATTTCTAAAGCAATGTACTCGAATATGTTTGAACGTATAAATGAATGTGATCCTCATTGAATGTAATTGATTAAATTATTTGGCAATGAGTTTACCAAGCTTTGGTCTCGCTAATGGGTGAGATAGGGGCGGTGTGAGGGTATTTGAAGCAGCGTGGATGATGCTGTAAGAAATAAGGACAGGGAGATGGATCCTTCTTACTTCGTCCTTTTCCTTGCCCGCTTCCAGTTCCTCTAAGCAGCGGCCATGTTCCTTCGCCGTCTTGAGTAGAACGTCGTGATCCTTGGCGTGCAGTACTATTAAGTCCTGTTCGTTTTTCAGCTGAATACAAATACATCGCACTTTTATAGTTATGCCATCTGTATCATGTGTGTGTGTGTTGTGCGTGCGTGCGTGCGTGTGCGTGCGTGCGTACATGCGCGTGTGTGTGTGCGTGTGTGTGTGTGTGTGTGTGTGGCTCTACCTGTGTAACCCTTCACTCCACCACAGACATGTAGCTCTACCTATGTAACCCTTCACTCCACCCACAGACCTGTAGCTCTACCTATGTAACCCTTCACTCGACCACAGACCTGTAGCTCTACCTATGTA